TTGGAGGAGGAAGGTAGAGAGAAAGAGAAAAATGTTTAAATGCAGCAGCTTGAAGGAGACGGCTTGCTGCGTTTGCAGCTGGTGGAGAATGGTACAGCCCCGAAAGAACGCATCAATCCTAAACAGCCAGGAGAAGTAAAGGGGCCTGCACCCCCTCTCCCCACTAACCTTCTCTCTCTTATCTTTAGGGTTAACGGGTTGGTGGAAGGAAGGCAGAGGCAAAAATACCCCAAATAAATAGAATTCAAAAACAAGCGTAACCAAAACCTATATACATAAAATAAAAACAGTTCTAAAGACACCGTTTTAAGTATTTTTGCTGATACGGTAACTACGTTTGATGGATGTTTACCCCCTCTCAGCCTTCAAAAACATCAACAGAAACAGGTCTGAGTATGTCCTGACCATTAAGCCAGCCAGAACTGTAGCGCCTAGACTACCTGAATCAAACATGGCCACTGCACGGGGAGCCAGCTTATAGGTCCTGAAACACACAAGCTGGCTTCAACCCTCTGGCTTTTGTAGCTGTGTACCCTTGAGCAAGGGAAGGTGCTTCTCTGAACTTCTGTTCCTCTTCTCTCAAAAAAAAAACATATATATATATATATATATATATATATATATATATATATATCTCCACACATTGACTGCAGTACCACGGGAAGTCAGTGGGGCTGCTGACCCCATGTATGCGGCACAGTAATATCCTGGAGCCTCTCCTGAAAGAGGGAGATGACCTGGCCAGCCCCCACTCTGGGTCCTGATTCAGAGACCACTGTCTGGAAACCTCTGTTCATTTCCATTGCTGTGATAAAACACTATGACCAAAGGCAACGGGAGTGAAGAGCGAGATTGCGTGGCTCACACTCCCAGGCCACAGTTCCTCAGAAACCGTGGAGGAGTCCTGCTTGCTGGCTCATTCCCAGGCTCATGCTTAGCTGGCCTTGTTAGAAAACTCGGGGACACCTTCCCAGATCAGTCAACAAGACAATTCCCCGCAAACATGCCAACAAACCAACAAGGCAATCCCCCCCAGACATGCCCAGGAGCCAGTCTGATTGGGCAATCTCTCAATTGAGAATTCCCTTCTCAAATGACTTTAGACAGTTAAAACTAGCTACATCAACATCTCAATTTCAGTTCCTATACCCAAGAGTGACTGGTTGATGAGAGAAGAGCTAGGATTAGCAGGGCAGAAAGTGGTTGGAGAGTAAGGGGGTGTCGGTTGTGGGAACGGTGGAGGGAGATGGAGCTGTGCACACAATCTCTCGTTTTCGTCTTCACTGACCTCAGAACACCTTCCCTGAGCTTGGCACCAGTCAGGGGTCTAGGCTTATGGAACCTGAGCTTTGACCTGAGGTTCCCTTCAGACTGCACATCCCGCTCCAATGAGTTGTTGAAAGAGAGTGTGATAGATATTGCAAGACAGGCAGGCTATTCCAAGTTCATGGGGCCTGAGCAGCTGTGTGAGAAAAGGTTAGCTGGCTATTCCCTCTGTAAACTCAACTGTCCCTTTTACTCCCACAACCCCCAGGGTTCTTACATGGCAATCAGTGCCTGTGGAACACGGTGGGTATCTATCAGTCTCGAAAACTCAGTCGCACCCGCTTTTCTTTAATGCTACCGACGTGCCGTTGTTAAAAATAGGTCTTCGGTTACAGATGTCACTGGGAATCAGACAGAGGGGATCATGGAGTAAAGGGAGAACGTTCTGGAGCCCGGCATCATGGCTTCCAATGTGTCAGCTACCTTTGCCCTTTGTGAGCTGTTGTTGGTTATAATATTTTCTATTGATATATCTTTTAGTTAAGCAGCGGTTATTCCTAAACAGCTGTATAACCAAATCACCACACAGAGACTAGGACTTGTTTAATTAACCTAGAGCACAATGCTGGGCAATAGTTACTCCATCCTAAACCTCCAAGCTCACATAGTTTCCTACCATTCATATTCACCCATTATCCTTGCTTTTAGTTATATCTTAGGTCCAGTTCATTTCTCCACATGGTTCCAAGACCTCTCCTGAAGATTCTCCTCCTCTCCTCTCCTGGCTTCCTTCTCATCCCCTCTCCAAACCAGGATGTCCCACCCCATATTATCCATTGTCAGCGTGGTGACTGGTTGTTTTAATTGACAGTTTAGAGAACAAATGGTGGCATGTTTACACAAACTTGAGACAGGTGATGCTTAGAATAAACATCACAATGCAATGTCCGGATTGCATTAGTGGGGGAGAGAAATCAGCATTTGAATGAACAGGGGTAAATTGTGCATTCCAAAGAACATTATAGCAGGTGTGAGCAGTTTCAGGCTCTGTGAACATCTCTGTGCTGCAGTGTCCTAATTTGTCAAGTGGGGATTCTAACACTCCCTGTCTCTTGGTATCAGGAGGCTGTAACTTCAGCAGATGGTCTCCAGGACTGGTGGTGAAGACAATGATGGTGGATGAGAACGAGGAGACAGGGAGACCAGTGAATTTCTTAGCGTTCATGCCTAGCTTACCTGACATGGTAAATAGAAAGCTGTCACCAGACCCCCCCCACACACAAAAACAAAAAAGTTAAAAGAAAAATTTATGTGCTAGAATGTGCTGCATTTAATCTTCACTGGCTCATGGCCAAGGACCCCACACTGAGGCAACAGCTTTGCAAAGTTTTTTTTTTTTTAATTTTTATTTTTATTAATTACAATTTATTCACTTTGTATCCGCCCCCCCCCCCGTAGTTCCTTCCCTTCTCCCCTCCCAATTCCACCCTCCCTTCCCTCTTCTCCACCTATGTCCCTCCCCCAGTCCACTGACATCTTCCTCCCCTTCCTTCTGATCCTAGTCTGTCAGGTCTCATCAAAAGTGGCTACATTGTCTTCCTCTGTGTCCTGAGGCTGCTCCCCCCTCAGGGGGAGGTGATCAAAGAGCAGGCAAATCAGCAAAGTTTTAAATAAAACAACAGGATGATACAGGAAGGCCCCTCCCCTGGCTCTGCTCCACCTACATATTGATGGAAACACCACAGGGCCCCCAAGTCTAGCCTAGCTAGGCCCCAGATGCTGAACACAGTGGGGGGAAGACCTCCCCGCTTAGCTCCCCCAAGGCCAGGCTTGGCACCCTGGAAAGGATGGCCCCACTGATTTTTGTTTGCAGTGGACAGACATGATTTGATTCTAAGCAGTGGCCTCTTGGTGGGCATCTGAGCTCCTTTCGTGCTTCTGCTAGGCTGGAGGTTGGGGAGCGTGGTGTGTGCACCCGGGAGCTAGCTGGATGGCTAAGTGAGACACCAAGCAGAAGCTGGATCCAGATATGCCACAAGGTGACTTGTGCGGCTTCTCCAAGGATGTGGGAAAGCTGTTGGGCACGCACAAGGCCTGTGAAGGGCCAAGCAAGTGAGGAGGCAAAAGAATGTCAGAACTCTCACGTCATTGGAGTATTCACATATTGGCAGTGTCTAAGCCTGGACTAGCCATTACTTTCCTGGTTTCACTAGGTAGTAGTTACAGATAGCGAGGAGACAGAGGGGGGTGTGGGGTTGAACTTGGCCCTGTCTCTCTCCAGTTCTCTGTGCCTCCATTTCCCCCTTACAATCGATGAATACTTGGCCTATGCCAATGTTTGCTCTGCATGTACTCAGAATGAACAACAGATTAGTGATGGCGGATCTGGTTCCAAGGAGCACACACCTGAGCCTCCTACATCATCCACTGCCTACTCGGACCCCTGAAGTTGGCCATGGCACTGTAACAGGTGGTTTAAATTATCTATTTGACACAGTCTAGAATCACCAGGGGGAAATGTCTGAATGGGTGTCAGGATTAGGCTAGACTGTGGACATGTATGTTTGGGATGACCCTGACTGTGTTAACTGACACAGAAAGACCCAGCCCACTGAGGGCAGCACCATTCCCTGGGTTTGGGTCCTGGATTGTATGAGAGTGGAGAAAGTGAACTGAGCACTGGCATGCATCCCTTTCTGCTCTTGAACACAGATGTGACTGGCTGCTAAAATTACCTTGGGCTGTCTTCAGTCCCATTAATAACCACTTACCACCCACTTCTGTATCTGACCTAAAGTTCTTTTGACTACCAGATACAATCTTTAAGAATGTCATCAAAAGTATCTGAAGCCAACAGCAAAGACCCACTTTGCTGTAACCCATCTACCCAATCTCCTTAACATTGTGATTGTGACGTTGATTTATGACCTCTTTTGTTCTGTGAACATTAAGAGCTCAGATAAACATGTCCATGATGGAATATGTCATTTGGCACAACCCAAATCCAAGTTCCCAGACTATAGTCACCCATATTTGGCTCATAGTAGACTATCATCTACTCCTTTTGGACCAAGAGCTATTTTGCAGACAAGCTCGTTCGTCCACAGAAACGGACTTTCTCTGCTTGAGCAAGGCCTGTGGATCTACCTGGGAAAGGCTGACAGACCTAGTCCTGCTTGGGTTCAGAAAGGATGGTACAAAGTCAACTGCAGAAACAGTCAGGTCCTGGTGACCTCCCCTGACCCACAGCTCCCCCCTCCATCTCTTGAGCACCTTTGACCTTGCTTCTCTCCCCGAGGTGGGGAAAGGCTTCTTCTCAATCAAAGTTCCTTAATTTGAGTAGGAACACCAGTGAGTGGCCCAGCCTGAGACCCACCCCACGGGAGAGGGCTGACTACTGTCACTATTAATGCTAGTCTGCTATACTTGCAGACAGGAGTCTAGCATATTGTCTTCTGAGAGGCTTCGCCCAACAGCTGATGGAGACAGATGCAGAGACCCAAGGCCAAGCAATGGGCTGAGCTGTGGAAGAGTAGGAGGAAGGATAGAAGGGTCCAGAGAGGTCAAGAACACCACAATAAGGCCTACAGAGTAATCTAGCCTGGGCTCACAGAGACTGAACCACCAACCAAAGAACAGGATTGAACCTAAGCCGTCGACACATGAAGATGTGCAGCTCAGTCATCATGTGGGTTCCCCGACGATCGGTGTAGTGCTGTCTCTGACCCTTTTACTTGCCACTGTGTCACTTTTCCCTTGCTGGACTGCCTTATCACTCCCTGGTGGAGAGGATGTGCTTAATCCTGCTGTGACTCGAGAGGCCAGGGTGGATGGGTACCAATTGGGGGCCTCCTCTTCTCTGGGAGGAAGGAGAGGAGGAATGGGAGGAGGGAGTGTGGGGGTAGGACTGGGAGGAGAGGAGAGAGGGAGCTGGGATGAGAAAGTAAAGTGATCATATAAATAAATGGAGGGGAAAAGAAGACATTAGCGGGAACTCCCCCGAGGAGCACAGCAGCTAAACTTGGAAGATTAGCCAGGAAAAGACTGGACCAGGGAGTCCTCCCGACACCCATCAGCACTTTTCACCCGATCCCCTCAGGAAGAGGCCGCACTGGGAGGCCTCATCCACATAAGGCACCCTGAACTTAGCATGCAGCCTCACCTGGCCTAACTTGTCCCAGAGCAGAGAGGAACTTTGTCCCAACCATGGCCCACACTTTGAGCTGGTCATTTTTCCCCAAGTCATTTACTACTCTTTTAAAAGCACCTACAGCCCCACCCCCATTTCCTTCTCCTTTTTGAAGAGGGCATTCAAGTTTCAACCATCTGCATGCTTTCTTAAGTCTACCAAGAACATTGATACCCTTATATCATGTCTTTTTTCCTAATACTTCATTGTCAGTTCATTTTTGATAAGCTTTAGAGGGCTTAAAGGAAATCTCATACTGGTACGGCCAGGGAACCGTGACTTCATGGGACATCTTGACAGCCGGAAGCTGCACAAAGCTAGTGCTGTGGGCTCTAGGCAAGGGACCACCTGAACACTGGTCCAACTCCTGAAGGCAGAGGTGGCGCAAGAACAGGAGGTCTGTTGTGCAGAGGGCAGGGAACAGCACGCTTTGGGTCAGAATATTAAAGAAATAGCAGCCTATTAGAAGAATGGTAACAACAACAACAGCCTATTAGAAGAATGGTACCAACAACAGCCTATTAGAAGAATGGTAATGACAGTACATCAGCATGGACTCATCCCTGAAGGAACAGAGTGGTGACCTGGAAAGGCAACAGGAACCAAATCAGATAGAAACTTCTGGATCCAGGGAAAGTGTTAAGACCTGTTCCCAACGATCTAAAGGCCCAACAGTGTTCATCTGTGTTCCCAAAACCTTGTGCCAGAGAGACCTGAGTTGTCACTGTCCCCAGACTCTTCCCTGTTTCTAGACATGTCCATAAAACCACACCCAACATTCACCAGTGACCAGCAGGATGGCCTGGTGCAAACTATTTCTCACCGTTTGTCACTTCTCCGTCTTGACACACGGTATGGGGTTTCCCACCCATTGTCCTAGTCATAATTTATTGTGTCCCCGGACAAATCTATTTCCTTTTGCGATTTTCTGTCTCCCAGTTTTTCAGTGTGAGTGGCATGAACTTGCTACCCTCCCCAAGAAACAGAACATAGAACACATGCTAGGAAACACAAGTTCTGTTTGGATCCTTCCTGGCTTGCCTACATCGTCTAAGCAGAGAACAGAAGGCTGGACTGGAACGCAAGGACCACGGATACCTTGTTCCGGGACTTATGTACACTTTGCTGAACATTGTGACAGACCCTGCCATCTGGCCGCCCACAGCTTCTCCAGGACACTCAGTGGAGAGATGAAACTCAATCTGGACAAAGAAACCTCTCAGTGCCAGGACCATCTTGCCGATGCTGCGGCTTACTCAACCTTTGACACCACCTCCCCCATACGCCGTGTAGACTCCTGATGGGGACCTAGGTCTACATAGGTGCACTTCAAATTAAAGTTGTGCAATGGCTTTTTTTTTTTTTTCTTTTTCTTGAGTACAGCTGTCCAGGCTCTTGTAAAGCTTTCCCAGGGAGAAAGCTTTCCTCAGCTGTGGAGGCTGTCCCTGTGGGAAGGCCAAGTTGAGGGAGCCCTGCTCTACATTCTGGAGGATGGAGGTCTGTCTCACTCTATTCTGGACCCAGTTTGCAATAGCCCTGTGCATTTTGTGTACTTCAATAAGGCCTTTCCTGTGTCCTGGTCTAAACTGGCTGTCTTTCAGGAGGCCTGATTGACTAGCAGAAGCCCAGAGAGCAGATGGCTTGCATCTGTCCTGCTCTGGCTGTCCTCCACACTTGGCCCACGGCAGGAAAGGCACAAGGCCTTTTGGCACATTGCACAGACCCCAGGACACCGCTGTTGACTGACTGTGTGATGTATGAGAGCTACACACTCTCCTTGGTTTGACAAGGAGAAAGCAGAACTATCTATTCAGTGAGCCAGAGTGGCCAAACCAAGGGGAGATTATACAGCAGCAAATCCCAAGGGGAGATTCTGAAAACACTCATAGGGCTGAAAGCTCAGCCCTCCACACACGATGTGGCTGAACTGTGTGCCCACTGACATCAAGGCTGTTTCAAAAGGACTGCAGGCAGCTGATCAAAGAAGCACACCGAAATCCAAGTATGAACAAGTATTTTAATAGCTGAAACTCGAAGTCATTGTGCTCCTGGTTCCAGTATTCCTAAGAGGCATCTTTGGCCATCTCAGAAGCCAGGGTCACCCACCTGTGGTCTCGGGGCATCAACTTCCTCTGGGTGCTGACTTGGAGGAAAAGCGTAAACACGCCCAAGACCACGGCTGAGAGGACCCTCCTCTTATCTATGCATCCAGTCAACTGCATTAGTTGGACAACTTGGGCTAAGGGAAGGGACACATGTCGACTGTTTAAGCAGGAACAGCCCAACCTTACAGGAAAAAGCGCGCAGCATTCATAGCATACAGAGGACAGGCTTCTGCCTATGTACCTGCAGCATTACATTTGTTTTGCCCGCAAACTATCGAGAAGGATTCTGTCGGCAGGGTGTTCCCTGAACAAGCAAAATGTGGGACAAAAGTCCTGGATGTCCTGTGTCACCAGTTCAGTGTTCTCATGTGTTATCCATTGGAGAGTCTTTGAGCAAAACATGAAGTCCGGCTCCTGCCTCTGCCTACGGGTCAATTTCTTCAGGAATCACCGTAATCATAATGTCTTCATTGCCCCTGCGGACAATCATGTTCAGGGTGTTTTCCTTTTTAATGACGTCACTGACATCATTGGCGGTGACCACCGACTGTCCATTGATGCTGATGATGACATCATTTTCCTTGAGCCCTCCACTGAAACACAAAGGAAAACATGCTGGTAACGTTTCTATTCTTCCCAGTTATCAAGAAAGGCAAAGCTTAGAATCGAAAAGCCCAGAACAAATAGGGGTTACAGGAAATGGTGGTGAACTCAGGACAGAATTTACTTCAACCACAGTAGCTAGCATTTTCTGTGATTTTTTTTTTTAAGGCCAAATCACTGGTGTCCATTGCAGAAATGCCTATGACATTTATGTGAACTATTATTGACTGTCCTCAGAGGGGACAAGGAAACACCAGGTACCATCCGCCAGATACTACGACCACAGCCAATTCGCACAGAAATGGCATTGTACTTGATAAGGTGATTCCTCTACAAATGCTGGCTGCCTCTCTCCAGAGACGACTCCTTTGTCCTGTGTCTGGAACTTTAGTTCATACATGACAGGATCACTATGCTACCAAAGTCCTCCTTGTTGTAATACCAATGCACAGACTTTTTCCAAAAAGGGCCAGATGGAAAAGAACTTAAGCTTCCCAGAGTATTTGGTCTCTGAGTCTTAGCTATTCAATTCTGCTGCAGCAGCATAAAAACTGCTCCAGACAAGATGTCATCTTGTCTGGGGACACAATTGTGGTCCAATAAAACACATGTCCACATTTACATTTCAGAGAAGTTACAGTATCACAAACCAGTGGCATCTGGATTTCTTTTTTTTTTTCCAACCATGAAAAAGTGCAAATACTACTTTTTCTCAGTTCGTGGGTCATCCACTAAGAGGCATCAGGCCAGGTCTGGCCCCAGGGCCTCGTCTACAGCTCTTCAGTCCATATTGCTCCCTAGATGTCACGAGGGTCCAGAAAACAAGTCTACGTTTTGGCTGAACTACTTCTTCTGCTATTTTGATGTCAGTGGGGCTGTTTTTCTATAGGTGTTGACAGATACGACTTCACCAGTCACAAACACAACTAGAGAAGGCTCTGGGAAGAGTGACTTCTGCTCCGCAGAACTCTCTCTAGAGTCAGGCTTCCCTGGGACTTCCAGCATGCCCAGCAGTGAGGGTTCTTCCTATCTGGATGACCTCAGAGATGACCCAAGGTAAGAAACATCCTTCTGTGGACAAGCCCTGAGTCCAACAGTCAGAAGCCCTGGCTGATAGGGGGCGCTGTGCCAATGTGGTCATCTGAGCCAGCACAAGAGAGAAGGCTGGCCCCTGTCCCACAAACCACATGGATATTGGAAAAAAGGGAGGACTTCTCACTCACGCTTCTGCCGGGGTGTCAGGAATTACTTCAATGATATACGCTCCAGAGAGTACATCCGGGAAGTCTCGGTGGCGGTCCTTCAGCTCCTTGGCCTTACTGCTTAGGAGAGAAAGCCCTTGTGTTACTATTAAACTCCCATGGCCTTTTTGTGCCAACACTCTCACCAAATTCCCTTCTTATTCTCAACTTCACGTCTTCTGATTCTACTCAGTCATGACACATACACAGGCTTTGGCACAGCATAACACTTAAATGGAGATCCAAGGACAACCTCTGTCCTTGCCTTGTACCTTGAGACAAGGTCTCTTGTTTGCTGCTGCATGTATCAGGCTAGTTGGCCTGCGATGGGGATTCTCCTGTGTTTACCTCCCATCTCCACAGAAAAAGCCCTGGGGCTACAGACACGTATTTCTATGCCTGACTTTACACAGGTCCTAGAGATTTGAACTCAGCTCCTCATGCTTGCATAGTAAGCACTTTACCCACTGAGCTATCATCCCAAACCCCTTTCTAATTTAACATGGCCTGTCTAGCCGGGTGTGTTGTCGAATGCCTGTAATCCTAGCACTCAGGGAGGCAGAGGCAGGCGGATCTCTGTGAATCTGAGGCCAGCCTGTTCTACACAGTGAGTCCAGGACAGCGTAGGTGACACAGAGAAACCCTGTCTCAAAAAATCAAGGAGGAGGAGGAGGAGAAGGAGGAAGAGGAAGAAGAAGGAGGAGGAGAAAGTAATGGCCGGCCTGCCAGCATCAACAGTTCGCTGTATAATACATAGCCGGAAACCAGACTAGTTTAACCATCAGCATAGGAAATGTGCCGTGGCTGGTTGTCAATGCCAAGGCTGAGCTGTACCTGGCTACACAGTAGGCACACCTGCACAGTTAACCTCACTGTGAAGGGGGGAGGGGTGCTAAGCACGCAGTACACTGAGCTGAGAAGCATGAGAGCCTCGGGGAACAATCCAGGAAGTCCTTCCCCGACACTTCCATCTCTTACGCTTCCAAAGACAAGCCGTGCGACTTCAGTCTCAGCAGGCTGTCCCATCCTTGGCAACACTAAGAAAAGTACCATTGTTCATAACCGGTTTGGAATGTCTTAATATTTTGACAATTGGATAAAACAGCACTCTCAATACATCCTGTTCTTGAATGACTCAGACATGCCCGTCAATGCGGTTTCCTGTGTTTTATGCAGGTTTCCCCCAGCCCCCTTCAGTATGTCAGAAGCCTGGCAACCCCAGGCAGCAACTTCCACACTCAGGAAAACAGCTCCATTAGTCACCAGCACCCGGAGGCAGGGCCTGCCCTGGCATTCCTACGGCCACACCCCACAAAGCAGTGTGCAGGGGAGGCGGGTGCTCCAGGCTGGGGTGGGCACTGGGGCACTCCTGGAATGCAAGTTTCAACAGAACAAGTGGTGAGAGGCAGGCACGAAAGTGTGCAGGAGTTAGCCAGCCTTCTGCTGTCCAGGCCTGCCTTCAGGGAGGACTGCAGAGTTCTCCAGGTGGCCAGAAAGGCAAAAACAAAGAGGCCTAAGCCCATAGCCCCTCCCCTAGCCCAGTGTGACTTACTTTTGAGCAGAAACCAAGATTTCCAAAGGAAATAGCTTCCTTTCAAGAATGCCCATGAAGCCGTGTGAAGCCCAAGTTTTTATAACTACAGGACAGGCGTTTATATTTATATAATTATGTGTCCTGTTTACCCACCTAGATGTGAGCGACATCATTCGGATCCCAATATACTTCTTCTTGGTGACAGCTTTCCCTGGTGTGACAACATAGGGACAGAAGGTCAGCCTAGTTCACAGGAGTGTGGGGACGCAGGAATCGGAGTTCCAATGCTCCAGTGTGTAGCATAAGCCAGAGGGGGGCACCCAAAGACCGTGGTTCAGTGCTGGCCTGGATTCCAGATCTACAGGGAGACCTCTCACTTCAAAAAATGGTCAAAGACTCTGGCATGACCCTTTGTTGCTAACCCCTGTGGGCATCTGGAATGAGACCCCCTTTCTTCAGCCTCTTTTGCCACCACCCTGGTAACATATTTGCTCTCAATTCGAATGGGCTAATCTTAGGGACTGTCACTTTCCCCTTTCCCAAGTCCTCAAGGGGCAGCTAGGCCTCCAGTCTGAACATGCAAAGATCCCCAGAATGCCTGGACCTAGTTACCTTTGGCCTGTCTGTCATGGGACTCCGTCAGGAACTTCTTTATCTTATCGGATGGAATTGCAAAGGAGATGCCCGCCGTCACCTTCAAGGTATTAATCCCAATCACCTCGCCATCCTGAAAAGCAAGGGGCATGGCTCAC